TCAAACCCTGGACGAGAACTAAGATTCCACATACCGTGAGGCATAGCCAGAAAACAAAACAAAACAAAACATTGAGAATCTGTTAAAGCAAAGACAGAGACGTCTCAGCAGCAATGGAAAAGAATTGTCTAGAAACCACCATCCTAATCATTTATTTTGAGCTTATATACTGCATGCTAGGGTGTCCACTGGCTCCCCACCCTGCCAAACGCACAGAAACCTATTTCCCTACATACTGAAAACACACGCAAGGTGTTAAAACATTTTTCAATTTTTCTGAGATGCTACTGATAGCTATCACGAAGCTCTGGCTTGGAAATTACCCTTGGCCCCTCCTGCATACTTTTTCCCATGTGAATCCTAATTGAGGAAACATTTTTAAACGATCTGAATTTACATCCTGCTTGAAATTCACGCTGTGGGGCTTAAACAACACAGATCCTTTACTTACTCCCTCGCTGCAAAAATACTATTTATTTTTCTTGCAAATGGACCATCGATGAGGGTAAAACAAATGTCTTTCTGTCTTGAGATGTGTAAACCTAACTTTTTTTTCTTGGCCAAACTCTCAAAAGCCAAACATAGTACCAGCCTTGCCTCAAACAAACAAACAACAACAACAATAACAAAAGACCTTTACCTCTCATCAAGCAGAAATCAGAAGCTCTGTATTCTATCTAGCCTCACTTTGGCCATGACCTAGCTGGGAGACTATGGGAATTCTGTCCAGCTGTCTGGAGTGGAAGAGGAGATGGTTTGAAATACCATCCAACCCCTATAACTCTAAAATCCTAAGACTCTAAAACCCTATGACTCCAGGCCAAAACATGGATAAATAATTACAAGATCTTGTTCTGAAAAATAGTTTAACACTGACTTAAAACATGGCTCCTGAGAAGTCTTTGCTATAATGCCTTCTTCAAAGGAAAACCTCCAATATCCGATTCTGACCTGAGGAGGGGGTCTATGTTTTTTCTCATCAATCCTTTTAACGTAGTAACACCCCCACCTGCTGGAGTTTTAGGTTTTTGCTGTTAAAGGTGGGAGGTGGTGGTGGAGGTTTAGTCGCTAAGTCATCTTGGATTCTTGCAACCTCATGGACTGAGGCCCGCCAGGCTTCTTCACCCATGGGATTTCCCAGGCAAGAATACTGGAGCCATTTCCTACTCCAGTGGATCTTCCCTTCCCAGGGATTGAACCTGGGGATCCTGCATTGCAGGCAGATTCTTTCCCACTGTGCCACCAGGGTAGGAGGTGTTTGGTAAAGGTTCCAGGCCTCAGGGGCAAGCTGGGTTCCTAGAGGAGGCTTCCTCCTCTACCACATCCTTTTTTGAAGGAAGGTGGAGCTCTGGGCTGAGAACTTTTCCTTTCACCCCTGCAAACTCATGGCGGGGCTGCCCTGGGCTGGAGGAATGACAAAGAACCCCTGCAGAAGTAGGCACTCAGCCTGGGTCAGAATTTCCTCACTTTTCTGTAAGATGATCTCCTGGCCCCTCCTCAGAACCTCAGTCCCAGGGATCCAGTGAGTGCCTCTGGGACCAGAGTTTCGTGGAAACATAAGCAGGAGTCTGACTACAGTGTGGGTTTGGCATGAGCAGAGGCAGGCTGGTGGGTGGAGGCCGTGGGAAGGCCCAGGTCTCAGCCCTGAAGAGCTTCAATCGCCCTCCTTCAGCCTCAGGCCCGGTCACCCCTATCTCCAGGTGGGGGCTCCTCGAAGTTGTTTAAGGAGCCCACTCCTCCTCTTCAAGACCAGGGGCCTGGGAATTCCCTGGCGGTCCAGTGGTTAGGGCTCCACACTTTCAATCCTTGTGTCAGGGACCTAAGATTCCACAAGCTTTGAGGAGCACCAAAAAAAGGTGCAGGGGTGGGGACGCGTCCCTGCTGGCTCAGTGGTAAAGAATCCGCATGCCAATGCAGGAGATTTGGGTTCCATGCCTGATCCAGGAAGATGCCATGTGCTAAGCTGAGCTTGTGCACCTCAACTATTGAGCCTGTGCTCCGCAGCCTGGGAGCCCCAACGACAGAAGCCCGTGCACCCCAGGGCCTGTGCTCTGCAACAAGAGAAGCAAAGACAATGAGAAGCCCGAGCACCACAACTAGAGAGCAGCCCTCACTTGCAGCAACTAGAGAAAGTCCATGTGCAGCAATGAAGACCCAGTACAGCCAAAAAAAACAAAGACCAGAGGCCTTCCTCTAATTCTAGAATCAGAGAAGGCCGAGGCCTGGGTGTTCTGTCCAGCCTCTGCTCCTTGCCCTGAGAGTTTCTACTTCCCACTCCAGGCCTCTGAGAACTGGAAATGCACAAGGCCGTTCAGCCTGGTGGGTCTGCAATGCTTATGTCTGTCTTTCATGCCTTGCATGCTGCATACGGTCCCCCATTGATGGGGTTGAACCTGCAAAACCATCCACTTTCCTGCTCCATCACCGATGGAGACATTCTGTCCCAAATGTCGGGGGCAGTTATCCAAGCTCTGGGCTCCAGGGAGGGTACAGCTCCTTCAGGGCAAAAAGAAACCCCAGCAGTGCCTGAGAAGGGGCCGGCCAGCCTCTGAGTGCAGAATAGAGGCGCCAGGGCCAAGTGGATTCAATGCCCTTCCCCCAGGCTCCCTGCCCAAGCCTGGGGGAGCCCCCCACCTCTGCGACTCAGCTCTCTCCCACAGCCATCCCCCCATGCACTGTGCCCCCAGCTTTGGAGCCCAGCCCCACTGCAAAGCCCACCCAGCCAGGCCCACCGAGGCAAGGTAAACAGAGATGAAAACATCCCCATGGGCTGCATGGTGACTGACAGCCCACAGCTCTTCCAGGCTTGCCCAGCGCAGCCCACCCCCTGCTCTTGAGTCAGCTGGAGAAGCTGCCAAAGAATCTGACAAGCATCCCTGGGTACACACTGGGTGGGCGGTATCTCTGCTATCCTTCTCAGAGGTTGTCCTTCCACTGTCCTTCCTTTCCCACCAGCCCATCAGGACTTCTCTATTTCACAGGGAAATGTCAGGGTCCTTCTCAGCTGCCTTGGCACTGTTCTACCAGAAGTCAGCAGTCAACAAAGGGCTGCAGAAGGCAGTATTCAAGAGACAAAGTAGTTTGCCCAGCTCTCAAAGAAATATGACTCAGATATATCACTGACATCCTAGATCAGATCTAGACTCCCTTTCTTTGCCTTCAATTTTTTTTTTTTTTTGGCTCCTGCATGGTCCAACTGGAGAAGGCAATGGCACCCCACTCCAGTACTCTTGCCTGGAAAATCCCATGGATGGAGGAGCCTGGTAGGCTGCAGTCCATGGGGTTGCTAAGAGTTGGACACGACTGAGCAACTTCACTTTCACTTTTCACTTTCATGCATTGGAGAAGGAAATGGCAACCCACTCCAGTGTTCTTGCTTGGAGAATCCCAGGGACGGGGGAGCCTGGTGGGCTGCCGTCTATGGGATCGCACAGAGTTGGACACGACTGAAGTGACTTAGCAGCAGCAGCAGTGTGGCCCAACACATCTCTCCTAGCTGATACATTCCCAGTCAAGCCCTTGGCTGTCCTTTAAAGGGACTCTAGATAATGCTAGAAAGCATATAGATTGCTTGTGGATTACAGCATCCAAGGTAAGGTGTGGAAAAGGACACAGCAGCCCACTCCAGTATTCTTGCCTGGAGAATCCAATGGACAGAGGAGCCTGGCAGGCTATGGTCCATGGGGTTGCAAAGATTTGGACACGACTCAAGCAACTTGGCAGGGCACAGCAAGGGAAGATGAGTGTATGGAGTCCCTGTAGATATGGGCATACCTGTCCTCAGGTACACCCATCGCTTTAGAGAGACAAAAAGCTATCATGTACCTTTCTCCTATTGGATCCTTAATCACTGTCCTAGGAAGGGAAAGGGCAGAGGAAGTAGGAGGCAAGATAAAGATTCAGGGACTTTGGAGAAGGTACTATTCAAGAGCAAGGTCTCTTGGCCCTGCATAGCTTGGATGGAAGTGTCACTTTAAGGACCCACTGAAACCAAGGATCAGCCTTCAGGAAACCCTCATGCTGGGTCCAAAGTGTGCATCTACAGTGGAGTCTGTCCATTTCCCCAGGCCCTGGATTCCTGGAGAGCCCACACGAAAGCCCATATGCCTTAGAAGAGGGTAAACAGCTTGAGCCTTTACCCAGATGGTGTATTTCAGAGCCCCCAGAATACTATGTACTACTGATACCATTTTTTTAACTTGGCTAGAAAACTCTATTCATTGAAACTTGGCTTGGAGGCTCGCTGTTCTCTGGCAATCTCTCCAAGGTTCTACATGGAGCCCTTCATAGTGGAAATAAGCCCTGGAAAAGAGTGTTATAACTAGATAAACTGACTTCCCTCGTAAACACTGTAGGAAGGACCCTGGTTGGAGAGGCATCCATTTCTGAACTCAGTGGTCTGCAAATGAGATCTCCAGCATCACTGCTCAGTTAGTGGCAGAGGGAAAAAACAAACAGGTTTCTGCTTGGCCTCAACACCTTTCCCATATAACTACCCAGGTAGGTCAAGCTCTTTAATGCAGTCAGGAACTGAATTTTAGCAAGCATCTCTGATGATTTGAGAAAGTCTGTCTGAATTGGTGTATTACATAGGACACTAATAGTTAATACCAAGTCCTAATCATGTGTCCTAACCACCAATTACATGGATTGACTCATTTAATTCTCACAATGACTCTATGATGTAAGAACGCTTTTTAATCCCATTCTATAGATGAGAAAACTGAGGCACGCATTACATTGTAAGGCAACCAGAAAGAAGCCTGAACAGTCTGCCTCCAGATCCTTCCACACAACCACTGGAAACACAGCCTGTGCCCCTGGGGTATAATTCTCTCTTGCTGGACAAACTGAGCCCTAGAGCAGGTAGGTAGCTTCTTTGACACTGGACTTGGGGCAATGGCTCCATCTTCCAGACCCCAAAACTTGTGGGGCTGCTTGGGGCAACAGCCACACCCGTGCCAACCCAGAATCTAGTGACTCCAACAGAATTTCCTTACTGGCATCCACTGATCTGTCTCCTTTCTCTCCTTTTTCCCCTTTTGGGCCTCGATCACCTAGAACAGAGGAGGAAAACCCACATTAGAAATGGAAATAAATCCACATGGTGAACAAAGTCTTATCTGCAGGAGACATTAACCCCAAATCAGAGAAACGCTGAGGCAGGAGCCCGCACACCTGAAGGGCATGTGTGGCAGGAAGGGAAAGAGCTCGAGTCAATTATGCTGTCTGTCCAGTTCTCCCTGGAAGCAGGGTGGGTGGGCACCAAGCCGAGAAGTTTCCTTCCCTCTTAATTAAAACATAGAGGCTCATCGCAGCACAGACTTAAAGGAGTGCATTGTATCCCACAGGGAGAAGACAAAGAAAAGATATTCCTATTAAATAGCCAAAATTTTAGAAGCTCAAATCCAAGGTTGCTCTAATAAGCAAGCAGGGAGAAAAGGAAGCAGGGAGGGTCTTCAGTTACAAGGAGAAACATAGGTTCTACATCAGGCAGATTTTTTGGTGGGCGAGGCTATACAACACTAGGGAGAGTTTCCAGGGAATTGTGGCATTTCCTTCCCAGGATATGGTTAAAAGAACAGAGCTCTTTTCTCAGCTAACATCGCACTCTACAAAGAAGTTCAAATGTCCTGACACCACTCAAGAGGACATTAAAAAGACAGGGGATTCCATCCAAGTGCCTCCAGAAAGACAACTGTAAATCAAAAGCTTATGGCAAATTCTCTCATGAAAAAAAAAAAGCCAACAAGTTCCAGGGAAAGATGCCTTGAGTGATCCAAGTTTTGAAAAAAAAAAAGAAAAAGGCAACCATATATGTAAATATGAATGTGCTTTTGGAAAAAAGTCTGGCAGGATGTGCTCCAAAGTGTTTACAGTAGTTACTCTGAAGAGTAAGCACATAAGAGACCATGAAGGAGGGCACTCACTGTTTACTTTAGACTTTATTATACATTTCTGTATTGTTAAATTGTTTTTAGTAAGCATGCGCTGCTTTTGTAATGTGTTTTAAAATCAATTTTTTTAAATGTGGATCATAAGAGGAAGGAAAACCTCAGTCTGTTTAATCACCAGTCAGAAAGCAGAATAAAAATTCCCAGTGATCCAAGATTAACAGGTCATCCTTGATGTGGGCTGAGAATAAGCGAGAAGGCAAAGGCCAGGGAAAGAGTGTCAGATTTCTTCTTCTGCAATGGCGCTAGAAGGTCTGGACACTTGAACATGAAAAGATGGGAAGGACTATAAAGTGCGCTCCCCTGAAAATGAACAAGGTGACTATTAACATGAAGGAAAACAAGTCAGATGAAACACTACTGACAGTGGAAATCTGAGGACTGGTTAAAGTTTTAACTGTTTGGGGGATCAGAAGAATATGGCAAACTATAAGGAATCTGGCAGTACTGGGGGGAGGGGCTGTCCTGGGTTTGCAGCGTCTGTTCTCCTGGCCCGGTTTCCTCTGGTTACGTCACTGAACTGCAACCACGGGAACACTCCCCTGAACTTCCATAGAGTGGTAGAGTTTACCGTCTTTTCACTCATATACATTCCCTGTAATCCTCATGAGAGCCCAGTGAAATATGGAATCATGAGGATTTCTAGTTTGGGGATGGAGAAACTGATGCTTAATGGGAATTCCCTGGTGGTTTGGCGGTTAGGACTCCTTGTTTCCACTGCAGGGGGCATGGGTTCGATCCCTTGTCCAGGAAGTAAGATCTCGCATGTCACATGGCATGGCCAAAAAGGAAAGAAAGAAGCAGATGCTTAACGAGGTTCTGTGACTTGCTCAAGGACACTCAGCAGGTCAGTGGCAGAACCAGAATTTGAGACCGGTCCACACTCCAGTGCCCACGTTGGTGTGCAGGGGCGGGTGGCGAGCAAGCATGCTCTGAGATGCAGTGTTACCTTTGAAGCCACGCATGCCCATTGGTCCACTGGCTCCCAGCTTCCCTTCGTCGCCCTTGGGGCCAGGCAGTCCTGGGGTCCCTCTCTCCCCTGGTAGACCTACGGAGATAAGAAAGTTGTAGGGCCTCAGACTCAGAACTGGAAGGGCCCTCAGTGACCATTGTCTGGCTCAACCATCCATCTTCCCATTGCCTCTGCTTCTTGATTTTTTTTCAGTTAAAGATGCTGCAAAAACAGAGCCCAAAAGGCCAGCACCTGACAGCTCCCTGTCAGCACCTTTAACCCAGTGAGTCTGGACCCCTCTCCAAGAAAGGTCCAAGTCTACTGTGAGCAATGTCAGAGGTGCCAATCTCATTTGGGCGAGATCTCTTTAGCTCTACCTATGCTGGAGATTTAGATTTGCAAAAAAATTTTGAGTCTTTTGAATGTGCCAGGCACTATCCTGAATGCTTTCTTAAGTATCTTATTTAATCCTCCCCATAGTCTGAGGTGTCATTCCACCTGTATTACCAATGAGAAAACTGAGACCCAGAGAGGTGAGTCAACCTGCCCAAGGTCACACAGCAGACACTGTTGGAGACAGGATCTTAGCCCTGATGGGCTGGCTTCATCTCATGCTGGATGAAAAGGGCTTATTGGTACTTAGGGTAGGAAGAAGATGAAATCACTTCTCATTCTATGGAAAAAATATATATATATATAAAGGTCCCTTCCCTGCGGCAAACACAGGGAAGTGTAGAGAAGGGGATGGTAGGCTGACAAGGAGGGAGGAAGTCCTAAAGCTCAATAATTGGGGCAAAACAGGCTGCTGATCCATTAGGCCCCAGGGCTCCTGGCCACAAGGCCCACGACACCAGCCGCAGGTCACCATGGAGACCGGAAGTCAACAATTGCTTTCACCCAGTGAGGCCTCCGCCCCTGGAGGCCTGACCTAAACCCAAAGTTATCTCTGCAAAGCAGGGCACTCTGATTAACACATTAATTGTTCTTTCCTGCTTTGAATGTTAGTTCATTTTCTTTGGCCTTTTTCCAAGACATGAAGAAATCTGTCTTTCACTTATGATTCCTCTACAGCAAACACCAAATGACCAGGGTCCCAAGAGGGTGGAAGGACCTCAGAAAAGGGCTTGATTTCTTTTTTTATTCCTTCCCTAACATAACATTCCTGCAGGCCAACAGCCTTGATGTCATGGAATTCTGAATCTCATGCAGGATATGCCCAGGGCTACCCCATCCCTTCACTGACTGAGGGAGAAAAAGAGGTTCCACTGCTCTGGAAGCCCTTGCTACTGCTAAGTCACTTCAGTCGTATCCAACTCTGTGCGACCCCATCCCTGGGATTCTCCAGGCAAGAACACCGGAGTGGGTTGCCATTTCCTTCTCTGATGCATAAAAGTGAAAAGTAAAAGTGAAGTCGCTCAGTCATGTCCGACTCTTTGCAACCCCATGGACTGCAGCCTACCAGGCTCCTCCGTCCATGGGATTTTCCAGGCAAGAGTACTGGAGTGGGGTGCCATTGCCTTCTCCACTGGAAGCCCTTGGGCATCCTTAACTTCTGAGTTTAGGGAGGTGCGCTGAGAGGCAGAGGCCAGGAGTGAAGGCCAGGCTGTGAGCTCCGCCTCCACCAGCCTCTGCCTCCTCTCCTGTTTGCAGCCTCCTTAGAGATTTAGAAAGGAGAGGGTTTGGAGGTGTAATTTCTGACATAAATAAGCAGATACCTTTCTCCTGATAAGCCTCCCCTTTTCTTACATCACTTAAAACAGGGGTCCCCAACCTCTGGGATCTAACGCCTGATGATCTGAGGTGGAGCTGAAGTAATAATAATAGAAATAAAGTGCACAGTAAATTTAAAGCATTTGACTCATCCCGAAACTATCTCCCCCCCTCACCGTCCATGGAAAAATTGAATTCCATGAAATTGGTCCCTGATGCTGAGAAGGATGGGGACTGCTGACTTAGAATCCTCTGCGTGCATGCTCGGTCGTTTCAGTTACGTTCGACTCTTTTCGACCTATGGACTATAGCCTTCCAGGCTCCTCTTGTCCATAGGATTCTCCAGGCAAGAACCCTGGAGTGGGTTGCTATGCCCTCCTCCAGGGAATGTTCCCGATCGAGGAATCGAACCCACGTCTCCTTTGTCTCCTGCATCCCAGGCAGACTCTTTACCCACTGAGCCACCTGGAAAGCCCCAAGAAGACTCTACACTCTTCTAGAAAAATGCTGCTCACAGCATTGACAGGCTGGGATGCAAAGCTTGATAAGGCAATGGAACAGGAACTCCTGAGACAAGGCATCTAAGGAGAACACACTCTTTCTGGAAGGTCCCAAATTACCCTCCCTGTCAGCTACTGGACCTTCCGGTCTGTCACTAGGGCATGTAGCAAAGGGCAGGAGAGGACAGGTATCTACTGACTGGGGTGGTTTCCGCAGGAGGCAGGGGGTCAAGCGCTGGGGACTCAGGAAATGCCGAGGGGGTGCGGCATACTTGAAGGGTTGCTCTAGATCAGAGGACACCCTCGATTCCTTCTGATGATCCTGGTCTCAGGGGCCCTGATTCCTGGGGTGGGGAGTGGCTTCAGGGAGCTGTAAGACTCCTGTGCACTCTTTTCCTTCAGATTCTGGTACTTTCTATGGAAAAGGATTTGCTCCATCCTAGTGTTACACAACTTAAAAAAAATGTTTTAAGCTTTCCAAATCAGAAAGAGCTTATATATTTTTTTTAACTGACTTATCAACAACAGGGCTTCCCTGGTGGATCAGATGGTAAAGAATCTGCTGGCAAGGTGGGAGACCTGGGTTCAATCCCTGGGTGGGGAAGAGCTCTTGGGGGAGGGCATGGCAACCCACTTCAGTATTCTTACCTGGGAAATTCCATGGACAGAGGAGCTTGACAGCTACAGTCCACAGGGTCACAAAGAGTCGGACATGACTGAGAGACTAAAACACACAGTGTTACACCAACAACCTCTTAGGCTTTTAACAGGATAGGGTATCTGAAGCTGAGTCGACTGGGACTGTCCTGAGAGCCCCATCACCGACACCAATGATAAAACAGAAAGTCAGGGATGGATGGGGGAGCTCCTTCCCTTCCTGCTATGTCCAGGTCCCTCCCGGGGCCCCCATTACCTCGAAGTCCAGGTAGGCCAGGGATTCCAGGCTCGCCTTCTTTCCCTGCATCCCCTGGATCACCTTTGGGGCCTGGTGGTCCTGAAAGGGTGACAAACAGCACTAAGGTTAGAGGACGGCTTTCTGGAGCAGGTCGCCTACAGAGGAAACAAAAACTCCCTCTGAGGGACTTCCGTGGTGGGTCAGCTGTTAAGAACCTGTCTTGCAATGCAGCCACATGGGTTTGATTTCTGGTCAGGGAACTAAGGTTCCCCATGACGCAGAGCAGCGAAGCCCTCAGGCCACAACTACTGGGCCCACAGGCCACAGTGAAAGATTCCGTGTGCTGCAACTAAGACACGATGCAGCCAAATAAACAAATATTAAAAAGAAAAAACCCCTCACTCCTACAGAAAGGGAGAGTCAAAAATGTGCTTTGGAGGCACATGGGGCTCCTCTTAGTCCACCTTTGTGTGTGTGTGCTGTACGGGGGGGCAGAAATCAGAGAAACCTTCCTGGAAGAAGTAACATCCACAGTGAAATTGCAAGGAGGAACAGAAGTGGCTAAGTACAGCGAGGAGTGGGAGTGTGTTATGGACTGAATGACTGTGGCTCCCTCATCCCAACATCAAAAGCATGTGTTGAAGCCCTACCCTCCTATGTGATGGTATTTGGAGTTGGGGCCTTTTGAGAGGTGATTGAGGTTAGATGAGGTCATGAGGGTGGGCCCCCCATAATGGGATTAGTGCCCTTATAAAAAGAGACCTCTGAGAGCAGTCTCTCTCCCTCCCTTCCTCATACTGGCATTGGCAAGCATGCTTTCTCTGCTATAGGAGGATCTGGTAAGAAAGCAGCCATTGCCAGGATGTAGGCTTGCACCTGAACCCAATCCTGGTCTCAGACTTCCAGCCTCCAGAACTGTGAGAAACAAATCTCTGCCTTTTAAGCTGCCCACCCAATCTGTGGTATTGTTGTTTAGTTGCTATGCTCTGACTCTTTGTGATTCCATGGACTACAGCCCACCAGGCTTCTCTGTCCATGGGATTTCCCAGGCAAGAATACTGGGCAAGTTGCCGTTTCCTTCTCCAGGGGATCTTCCCGACTCGGGGATCAAACCCAAGTCTCCTGCATTGGCAGGTGGATTCTTTATCACTGAACCACCAGGGAAGCCCGTGGTATTGTTATAACAGCCTTAACCTAAGACACAGTGAAAGGGGAAAGTTCCAGGCAGAGAGAACAATTCCCATAAGAGCTTAAAGATCTGTGGGAGTTGGGATGATTGGAAGCCGGGGGGACACATGATGGGGTAAGAAGGGTGAGAAAGTGGAGGGTTTCTGAGGCCTGGTGCAAATGTTGAACTTGACTCTGAGGGCACCAGAAGCCACAGGAGGGACCTGAAACACAAGTGTGGCCAGATCTGCACACAAGGAACAGTGCTCAGGCTGCGGTGTTGGAAAAGGGATGGGAACGGGGGAAATAGAGGTGGGGAGGCCAAGGAGGAGGTTGCACCCAGCTGAGAGGTCAGGGAGCCCTGAATTAGGGAAGTAGCCATGAGCAGGGATGTCAGTGGCTGCTGAGAAGCAGAAGAGACAGACCTTGGCTAAATGTAGGTGAAAGCAGAGGAGGCAGCCAGGGTCACCTGGCTTGAGCACCTGGATGGAAGAAGGGGTTTCTAAATGCTCCTTAGCAGGGCCTCCTTCCACGGTGAGGCTCCAGCATGGCAGGGATTCTAGCCTGTGTGATCCGAGTCAGTCCACACATGCTGGGTGTCAAGACCACACAGCCAGCTAGTGAGCAAGGGAGCCGTGGATCAGCTCAGGGCTGTCTGGCCTCATCCACCCTGCCTCGCTCATCACGCTAGATGTCACACCATTCCCAGGAGAGACCTGACCCTTCATGCCCTGCAGGCTGCTATTCCCAGGCTGGTGAGCCAGGGGGCCCTCCCCATCAATCTCCTATCACTACCTGCCCCACCAATGCTGCTCATTGCCACTCTCGTGGCCAAGCCTTCTCTGATCCATCATTCCTGCCACGTGTGGGCACAGCCTGTTTGAACACATGCCCTTGGTACTATTTGATGCTTATCCCACACTGCCTTGTCCTGTAGTCACAAGTGTTCTCTTTTTCCTAACAAAATGGCCAGCTCCCTGAGATAGGACCACACCCTTGGCATCCCTTTACTGGCTGTGAAGACCCAGATTCTAAATTCTCCATTCTGGCTGCTCAGTGAGACAAAAAAGATGACCAAGGAAAATGCCCCAACTGTACTGCGCTGGGTCAAACTGTCCCTGCCAATTTCATGTCCACCTGGGACCTCAGAATACGACTTTCTTTGAAAACAGAGTCTTGGCTGCTGTAATTAGTTAAGATGAGGTCAGATTGGAGTAGGGCGGATCCTAACCCAATTTCTGGTGTCCTGACAGACAGACACACGGGCAGAAGGCCAGGTGACCATGGAGGCCGCGGTTGGAATGATGCGTCTACAGGCCAAGGAACACCACAGATAGCCAGCAACATCAGAAGTCAGAAAGAGGCCAAGAAAGATCCTCCCCCAGAGCTTTTAGAGGGAGGATGGTCCTGTGCACACCTGGATCTCAGACCTCCAGCCTGCAGAACAGTGAGAGAATCGATTTCTGTTGTTTCAAGTCACCCAGGGGCTTCCCTGGTGGCTCAGTGGCATAGAATCCTCTTGCCAATGCAGGAGACTTGGGTTTGATCCCTGGATCAAGATCCACTGGAGGAGGAAATGGCAACCCACTCCAGTATTCTTGCCTGGGAAATCCCATGGACAGAGGAGCTTGGTGGGCTACAGTCCATGGGGTCACAGAGTTGGAAACGACTGAGTAACTAAACAATAATATGCCACCCAGCGTGCGGTGCTCTGTCATGCAGCCCTAGGAAACCAAAACATGTATACTCGCCCCCTAGCAGTCACGCTTGCACAATAAATACTTGCTGAATGAATGAGTATATGAGATCAGAGGGTGTTAAGACACACAAAACAGCCAGGCAGCCAAGATCAAGATGTACTGATACATTCCCAAAGCTGGCACTGTCCTTAGACCCTAACCAAAGTTGACAGTGGTTTAAGAATTCAATGGCATGAGAACAGGGGGGGAAAGGAATCAAGAACTGAAAAGTGCACAAATCATTAAACAAGGATTTCTGAGTTACATGGATCATGTGAGGAGGACCGCGGTTTGTAACCATCTTCCTCTTTTCACCAGGGCTTCTCTGGTGGCTCAGCTGGTAAAGAATCCACCTGCAATGCAGGAGACCTGGGTTCGATCCCTGGGTTGGGAAGATACCCTGGAGAAGGGAATGGCTACTACTACTACCTACTCCAGTATTCTGGCCTGGAGAAACCCATGGACAGTCCATGGGGTCGCAAAGAGTCAGCAACTCTTTGCTGAAAGTGAGCAACTTTCACGCCTCTTTTCTAGGAAGAAAAACAAAGTAAGACTGGCCATGTGGACCTCAGCTTTCAGAGAACAGGACTGAGACACCACACCTGTTGGGCACACGCCTAAGATTATATAGCAGAGAAATACAGGGGAAAGAAGCGAGTGAGCTTTACAATGCCCACGCCAGCAATCCCCTGGCCAGGTCAAGGTTGCAGCAAAGGTTGCTGACAGCAGTTCCTGAATCTCTGCCCATCACGGGTTGTCAGTGGGCTGTTACCCTCCTCTGCCCCCAGACCACTCCACCCCTTCTCACTCTTCCCTGTTCCTTCCTGTCTTCCCCATGGGAAACTCGGCACACTGGGATCAAGCAGGTCAACGATGCTATGGACCATCCTCCATTTCTTCTATTCACTCTAAGGTGGGTGTGACCCAACACATGGACCTTCCCAGCAGTAGTTCTGGCAAAAACAGGATGCTACCCAGTGGACTAGCTCTGACGGAGAGGCATCAAGGGGGCAGAGATCACTTGGAAGGTGGAGTTTGAGGATGGAAATCTTGGGTTCAAATTCTGGGTCTGTAAAATCTAAGTAGAAATCCTCCTCGGGTGTTTGTAGTGAGGAGTAAGTGAACTCAATGACATGGTGGATATATACGGGCTTGAGAACCTGTGAGTGGCAAGACCGTCCCTGACCATCTGTACCCTACTCTTCAAAATGTGTCATCAGAACTATGCTGAGATTACTGAGGATGGCTGTTAGAATAGCCACATCTGAAACCCCCCTGCCAGTTCAATAAGAGCCAGATTCTAAAAATATCCTACATGTGGATAGAGTTTTTAAGATACAACTAAATGCTTAGTGTGGGCTTCCCTGGAGGCTCAGTGGTAGAGAATCCACCTGCCAACATCTGGGTTGGGAATATCCCCTGGAGAAGGAAATGGCAATCCACTCCAGTATTCTTGCTTGGGGAATCTCATGGACAGAGGAGCCTGGTGGGCTCCATGAAGTCGTGAAGAGCCAGACATGACCGAGAGACTAAACAACAGCAGCAAGCGGTTAGTGAAGACCTTTACTAGAGATTAACTGGGAAGAAGCCAGGGTGGCCAGTAAAGGCAGGTGCTGATTTCCAGGGCTTAGTCGTGTCCTTGGGTGGTACTAGCCTGGCTGACTCAGAGGAGCCTGGAATGTGGCCAGTCTGGGTCTCAAGAGGCCCGGCTGTCTGGAGCTCTGAGGACCAAGCACTTCTTCAAATCAGCGCTGACTGCTGGTGATGCATTCTTGGGATCTATTTGTTTTTGTTCAGTCACTAAGTCATGTCTGACTCTTTGCGACCCCATGGACTGTAGCACACCACGCCTCCCTGTCCCTCACCAGCTCCCAGAGTGTGCCCAAGTTCATGTCTATTGAGTCGGTGATGCCATCCAAACGTCTCATCCTGTTACCTCCTTCTCCTCCTGCCCTCAATCTTTCCCAGCATCAAGGTCTCCTCCAATGAGTCAGCTCTTCACATCAGGTGACCAAAGTAGTGGAGCTTCAGTTTCAGCATCAGTCCTTCCAATGAACACCCGGGACTGATCTCCTTTAGGATGGACTGGTTTGATCTTCCTGCTGTCCAAAGGAGTCTCAAGAGTCTTCTCCAGCACCACAGTTCAAAAGCATCAATTCTTCGATGCTCAGCCTTCTTTACAATCCAAGTCTC